GGGTGAACTCCCCCTCCTCAGGCAGAGGGAGATATTCTAACCGAACCCACGGCGATAGGCAGCTGCAAAGTCCTTCCTCGGAGAAGAGGAGGAGATGAGGTCCCTGTCTGGAAGTATGGAACAGTTTATCATGAGAGCCAGGACAGGTGGTGGAGAGCCTCAGCACAGAAGACAGCATGCCTGCATTCCAGACCTGTCTTGTCACTCTGCATTGGGTAGCTTTGGGCAAGTCCCAGTCCCACCTAATCTCCCTATTGAGAACTCAAGCCTCAGTTTCCTCATATGACCAGTAGGAATCCTTATCCTTGCTCTGCCCACCTGAGTCACTGTGAAGGTGTTTTATGAAAGGGTCAGATGCAGAAGGGGCTGGCCTCGCTGACTGCAGCCTTGCAGCTGTGTCTGGGGCTGAGTAGTTTCTCTGATCTCTAGGGCTCCTGCCTAGGGCTGTCTTCTCCTGACCTGCCCCTATCCCCTGTATTTTCCCTCCAGATCTACACCAGCTCTCAGCCCCTGCGTGTGGGGTACTATGAGACTGACAACTATACCATGCCCACCCCGGCCATGAAGCGGGCCGTGCTGGAGACCAAACAGAGCCTTGAGGCTGCGGGGCACACGGTATGACTGCAGGGTCCTAGAAGTACTGGCATCTCCTCTCCTCCCGGGAAGCCTTTCTGGTACCCAGGACTACTCCATCCCTGGCATCCTGGCACTCTGATGGTGTTGTCATCAGGGTGAACTGAGGCCCTGTGGGACAAGTATATAGAGGGCTGATCAAGAGTATTGGAGGAGTGATTAAGGGAGAACTTCAGCCCTGTGCTGTGTGATGTGTGAGCACTGCATGCAGGGAGGCTCTTCAGCTGTAGGCAGTGGTGCACAGCTGTCCAGAGGCTCCCAGGGCCATGGGTTTTGGTCTGGTCATTTATACAACTTTATGTGTGGCTCCAGACTTCTCTCATGCTGTGCATTCCACAGTGAGTTTTCTTGGGTCAGTAAGGCTGCCTTTGTGGCTCTAGTGAGAGCTATCATGTGGGCAGAGTTGGTCCAATCCATCCTCAGGGCCACCCAGACAGCATGGGGATCATGGAGCCAGTGGTTAGGTCAGGAGGCCTTACACCCCTCAATCCCTGCAGCTGGTTCCCTTCTTGCCAAGCAACATACCCCATGCTCTGGAGACCCTGTCAACAGGTGGGCTCTTCAGTGACGGTGGCCACACCTTCCTACAGAACTTGTGAGTGATAGTGGGCTTTGGGGTCTTGGTGGGATCAGAAAAGTAGGCAGACCCAGGGGGAGCAGCAGGGTGTGGTGATACCTGGATGGGCCTTAGCTGAATCCAACAAAGGCCTGATCACTCTGGGCCGGGACCTCGCTGTCCCTCCAGCTGGGCACATTGACCCTGGAGATCCCTTGCCAGGGTGCCAGCCCGAGGGGAGGAGGCTGGGTTGAATATCTGTGGCCTATCCTTGATCTGAGCTTGTTATGAGGTAGGAGGTGGGCAGGAGGTTGCCTCTCTGTTTGGGAAAGATTTGGGGCAAGGGCAAGATCCAGGCAGGAGGGTAGGGGCTTGGACTTGGGTGACTCCAGGCTCTGTCTGACTTGAGCCAAGTCTTCCTTTTGAGCAGGACCTCAGCTTTCTCTCCTGTAAAGTGGGTGAGTTGGACCAGGCTCTTTTTAAGGGACTTTGCAGAGCTCATTTTTAGGGAAGTTGGTTCCTCTGGGCTGTTTTTAGTCCTTAAAGGTTGTCAGGGGCAGAGGACAGGCCTGTGAAGGCCCCTCCTGGTGATATACCTCTGCTGGATGGACTGGAACCCTTCAGAACACAGTCCTCCTTCCTCCACTTCACCAATGGAGAACTTAGCCCTGCAGCCTGAAGCTTGGCCCTGCAGCTTCACTCAGTCAAGGGCCCAGCCTGTCAAGTTCCTTTCCTTCCCCTAGCAGCCAAGTGTGGTCCAGGCATCAGTGGAAGGGGTCAATCCTCACTCTGGCCCTGGGAATGAGTCCCCAGGATCAGCTGCCTGAGACCTTTCCCTGAGATCTTGAGCCAGAGATAGCCTCAGAGCCATGCTTCATGGGCAGCCCACCCTGGATTGCGCCACCTGTGCCTCCAGGCTGGCCTCCATGTCAAAGGGGAGGTACCCTCAGGGAGGCCTCATCAGGGAGACGTTGCCCTCAGTTCTTAGAGCTCTGAGCTGGGTTTGCTGGAGAGGGATACCCTGAGTCCTGCCTTGGGGAGCTCCCGTGGGTGTGGGTTGGAGCCCAGGCATCCCAAAGGATCAGTAGAAACAAACGGCATGTTTGGAAGGAGGGAGCCGAATCTGGTGAGGAGGAGGTGGACAGTATCCCTGCATAGAGAACGGGATTGCTGTGGGCCGGGTGAGCAAGCCGGGAAGGATGCAGGGATGGGAGTGCCTGGACCCAGCCTTTTGTTTCCCAGCAAAGGTGATTTCGTGGACTCTTGCCTGGGGGACCTGGTCTCAATTCTGAAGCTTCCCCAGTGGCTTAAAGGACTGCTGGCCTTCCTGGTGAAGCCTCTGGTGAGGGCACAAGGAGTAGAGGGGCTAGGATGACTGGGAGGAACCTAGGGCCTCCTATCACGTGATCCCCCATGGCATTCCTCAGCCTCTCTTGATTTGGTCAGGCATGGCCTCCTCTTCCCTCCAGTCCCCACCCAGATGGCTCTCCTCCCCTGTCCCCTGCGATCTTCAGCCAACCTGCATGCTGAAAGGGGGGCTGACCTGGGCCCTGGGGGGAGGCATGGAGGGACAGGTCCCCAGTGGCTTGACCTGAAGAAGATTGACACCTGCCGTGGCCCAGAGCGGAGTCACCGACCCTGCATCTGTCCTGTGCAGCTCCCAAGGCTGTCAGCTTTCCTCAGCAACATGAAGTCTCGGTGAGGGTTCTTCTGTGCCCAGCTGCTGCCCCTGCCTGTCCTGACCCGAGTCTGGGTCTGGGTAGTTTCTGACAGGAAAGGACTTGAGGGAAGTAGCCTCTGAGGCTGGAAGTGGCCCAGGCAGGGGGGCAACCTTTGTGGCCTTCAGGTGGGACTTTGAAGTTGTCTTGGCAAGATCCAGTTCTGGCCGGAGAACAAAGGCCTGAGGGGGACAAGAGGATGGGGGAGTTGGAGGAGAGGAGGTTGACCTGGCTGGGGTGTGAGTGGAAAGGACCAGGAAGTGGGGGTTGGCCTGGGCTGGTGGTGGGGCACCTGGGAGAGATGCTGCTGTTAGAGATCTGAGCTGACCTGAGCTCTGCCAGGTCCTACTTGCCTCTTAGTGGCTTGGGCTGGAAAAGCAGGGTGTAAACTGCCCCATTTCAGGCCCTGACATCCCGTGGACTCACTCCTTCCCTCACCACCAGGCTTCAGGACTGGCGGCATCTATGGCCTCTCCTGTGTCCTGAGGGTAGCGAGGAATGAGGCCTGAGCTAGTCCTGGCTCTGCTGTGGAGTCACCAAGTGACAGCCTGTGCCCCTCTGGGGCCTGATTTTCTCATCCAGACAGTAGGGGTTTGAACTTCCCTCTCAGCTCCCATGGGGTTGTGAAGGGTCCACGGAGGGGTGAGATCTGGAGGGTTGGCAGTAGGGGTCTGATGTTGCTGATCTCCATGGCTGTGACCATGATGGCTGGTGACCACACTCCTTCTGCCCAGGTCGGCTGGAAAACTCTGGGAACTGCAGCATGAGATTGAGGTGAGACCAGAGCCTCTGGACTGGAGCAGGGTGCTGGGGGGAGGGTGGAGTTGGACAGGGCACCCACTAACAGGGTCTTGCGGCCACTGCCCCCACGGGGCTCCCAGACTGGCCTGTCGTCCCCCTTCCACTCCCTGGACCACCACTTGGGCCCAGCTCTAGGACCCTTACTTGCCCAGATGCCCATCCTTTGCGGCTGGGTCAGCCCAGGGCCCCTGTCCTGGCCGCCTTTTTGCCCCTCTGGAGCTGCCTGTGTGTGGCTCCGCCCCAGCAGGAAGAGGCATGTCCACAATTCATCCTGGAGGCGGAACGAGCGATGCCCTCTGAGAAGCAGCACCGCCTGCCCGGAGCACCTGTGTCCCACTGTGGCTCCTTTCAGATTCAGGGGGAGGTGCTGGGGCCAGAGCCACCCTAGCCACAGTCCCTGAGTTAGAGAGCCTGGGGGGGGCCAGTTCTGCGTGCTTTCACCCGGTGCGCTGTGTCCCCCACAGGTGTACCGCAAAACTGTGATTGCCCAGTGGAGGGCGCTGGACCTGGATGTGCTGCTGACCCCTATGCTGGGCCCTGCTCTGGACTTGAATGCCCCAGGCAAGGCCACAGGTGAGGCCCGACACCCTCCCTGTCCCTTCTATGAATCTGGCCATGTGCCCTGCAGGGCTGCCAGGAAATGGAAGAAGAGGAGCCCTCGGGGAGGACCCTGCCCTTGCGGGGGCCCACAGTCTGGCTGGCTGGAGACATGGGAGTCATGTGGGATGCCCTGGCAGGGTTTGATTTTTCTATCATCAGCACTATTCAAGTTGGGGACCTTGAATTACGGAATGTAGTTTGGGGAGGTGGTGGTTTGAAGTCCAGGTGGGATTTAGATAAATCAAAAAAATAGGGGCCAGGCGCGGTGGCTCACACCTATAATCCCAGCACTTTGGGAGGCTGAGGCTGGAGGATCACTTGAGCCCAGGAGCTCAAGAGCAGTCCAGGCAACATAGTGAGGCCTCTGTTGCTACAAAAAATAGAAAGATAAGCCGGTTGTGGTTGCATGTTCCTGTAGTCCTGGCTCCTCAGGGGGCTGAGGCGGGAGGATTGCTTGAGCCCAGGAGGTCGAGGCTGCAGTGATTTGTGATCACACTACTGCGCTCCAGCCTGGGTGACAGAGTGAGACTCTGTCTCAAAAAAGGAAGAGGAAAAGAAAACAGAAACAACATTCCCAGTGGGGAAAGTACATGGGCAAAGGCATGGGGCAAGCATCAGTGGGATATCCAGCCTGGCCCTGAAATCTAAATTCCTGGGCTTTGTCACTCAGACCTCAGTCCTGGGAGAGAGCCTCTCTGGCTGTAGACACAGGGTGCCATTTCATACGAGGTTTGACTCAGGCCCAGAGCTGGCACTGAGATTCCTGGGGCCTGCTGCAGCTGCTTGTGTTGTGTTCCAGGGGCCGTCAGCTACACTATGCTCTACAACTGCCTGGACTTCCCTGCAGGGGTGGTGCCTGTCACCACGGTGACTGCTGAGGACGAGGCCCAGATGGAACATTACAGGGGCTACTTTGGGGATATCTGGGACAAGGTGCTGCAGAAGGTGAGGACAGGCCTGCCCCTCAGCTGAACTCACTCCCCACCCTGACTCTGGCCGCTGTGGAGGAAACAGTACCAGTACTGCGGGTTTGCCAGCCTTTCTTAAACAAGACCTGAAGAACTGTGGCCTGGCCCTGCTTTGCGGCCTCTCTCTAGCTGGCGTGCTTCCTGGGCCTGGGAGTGGGGAGTCCTGCCTCGCTAACCCTATCCTGATGCCTGTGTCCCCTATAGGGCATGAAGAAGAGTGTGGGGCTGCCCGTGGCCGTGCAGTGCGTGGCTCTGCCCTGGCAGGAGGAGTTGTGTCTGCGGTTCATGCGGGAGGTGGAGCGACTGATGACCCCTGAAAAGCAGTCATCCTGATGACTCTGGCTCTGGAGGACTTGAGACTCACACTCTTTGCAGCCCAGCCTAGTCAGGGCACAGCTGCCCTGCTGCCACAGCAAGGAAATGTCCTGCATGGGGCAGAGGCTTCTGTGTCCTCTCCCCCAACCCCCTGCAAGAAGCGCCGACTCCCTGAGTCTGGACCTCCGTCCCTGCTCTGGTTTCCTCTCTTCGTCCTGATCCCTCCACCCCCATGTGGCAGCCCGTGGGTATGACATGGGCCAGGGCCCAACTAACAGTCAAGAAACAGCTCCTCGTCTGTGTGTTTTCTGGGTGTCATCGTGAAGGTGGGGGTTGGAGCCTGTTGAAAGTAGGGATGGCTTGACCATGCAGGCCCAGGCTCCAGCCATGCCAGTCTCCTGCTCCACAACCTCCCCTGGTGCTCATCGCCCACAGGAGGGGTGCAAGCTTGTATCCCCCAGCACTTCAGCCCTGCCCCTCCTCTCTCACCTATACTAAACCCTGCTCTGCTGGACACTGCCCTTGGTCTCCTTCCTTCCTCTGCTCCTTTCCCTGCCTAGAAAGCTCTTTCTGTTCCTCTACTTTCCATGCTTTGAGACCTGGCTCAGATTCTTCTCTCTCCAGGAGGCCTTTCCTCCTGTCTCTGGGCCCTGGAGTATATGGGCTGTTTCTTCCCAGTCTGCCTTGTGTGGTGGGTATTGGGGGGTGTGTCTGCCTGCCTTACCACACTGGCTTTCCTTGACGGCAGGGACCCCATTGCTACATCTCTGTTTTCTGTGGCTAGCACAGGGCAGCAGGGGAAGCACTGAGTTGGGTTGCAGAGAGTCCAACGTGTTGGCCCTGAGCTGGTGCTGTTTGCAAGAGGAGCCCATGGGCCTGGGGAAGCCGGCATGAGACAAGGTGACCTGGTAGAGTGTGCTCTCAGGGCTGGCCAAGGCCTGGATTGCCCTGGGAAGGCTTCCTGAAGGAGGTGGATGTGTGTTGAGTCTAGAAGTTTTCCAGAGGCTGAGCTAGGGGTTGAGGACATCTCAGAGAGAAAAGACAGTATGCCCAAAGATCAGGGTGGGTTTGGTAAATGGCGGGCATGTTGAGTGGGCACAGGGGAAGCAGAGATGTAGGTGAGGACAGATCAAGGTGGACTTGGGCAGCCAGGTCAGGAACTTGAATTCTGTCTCGAGGGCAGTGGGACTCTGGAAAGATCATAGCTCAGCCTGAGGACTAGACTCGTGGGGCAAAACCTATAGAAGGGTAAGAAAGCTGCTCCATGATCCCTAATTTGGGGAGAGGGGCCTAAGGCCTGAACCTTGGCCCAGGGGTAGAGATGGGGCCCTTTGGGAATTGACAGGATGGAGGTGAGCTGTCTCAGCTGGTCTGCCATCCACCTCTTACTGGACTGTGTCACCTGGCTGGTAGAAAGGTGGCATCTGTAGCCGACCCTAGGAGTTTATTTATTTTTTTAGACAGTTTCACTCTTGTTGCCCAGGCTGGAGTGCAATGGTGTGATCTCGGCTCACTGCAACCTCCGCCTCCTGGGTTCAAGCAATTTTCCACCTCCTGGTTTCAAGAGATTCTCCTGCCTCAGCCTTCTGAGTAGCTGGGATTACAGGCATGCACCACCATGCCCGGCTAATTTTTTATTTTTAGTAGAGACAGGGTTTCTCCGTGTTGGCCAGGCTGGTCTCAAACTCCCGACCTCAGGTGATCCGCCTGCTTCGGCCTCCCAAAGTGCTGGGATTACAGGTGTGGACTACCACACCCGGCTGACCCTAGGAGTTTCTTAACCCCATTAGCCCAGTTGCTTTGCTCTTCCCTGGCCCCAGCCCTAATTCTCCTGCTGGCTGGAGATGTTTCAGAGCCTGAGCCCTCTAGGTAGGGCAGATCCACGGCTTCTACCTGTATTTCAAATTCTTTCTAGAAGAGTTGCCTTCGCAAGACTTCCTTCTCCACCCTGGTTTTCCTATTCCTCCAGAAGGCCTTTGCCCTCCAGGTTGCCATACCCATTGGCGCCTGCACTCTCTCCCAGTGCCATCCCTGCCTCTGTGGGGCCATTTTCAGGGCAGATGTGAGGACCCAACCTATATGGGGACACCTGGATTGGGACAACTAGGTAGATGCCGCGCTTTGCCCTGATTTCTTGTAACCACTGCCGTAATTTTGCTTCTTTCATAAAACTACTACCATCTGCCCCAGCTTCCTCTTCCTGCCCCATTTCTCTCTTTCAGTTACCAATATCCTCGTGCTTTCAGACATGAGGCTGCAGAGTGGAGGCGCCTTCACTGGTTCATTGATTCAGCCCTTGGAGCCTCAGCATGGCCATGTCCAGACCTCAGCTGACTTGAGTCAAACCTGGGCTTCTGGGGATGTGGACATTGACACAAACACATCTATTCCTCCTGTGATTAGGGCTTGGGGACAGGATAGACAAGGGGCCAAATGCTGCCAAGGGGAGGGGAAGTGGTCACTGAGGCTAGACATGGCCACTGTGTTTCATCTCCACGACCACGCTCTAGTCCGAGCCACCTCCCTCATCTGGATGCTTCAGTGACTTACCTTCTGGGCTCCCCTCTTTCAACCCTGGCTGCCCTCTAATCCATTCTCCACACAGTAGCTGGAATGATCTTTTAAAAGTATAAATCAGGCCAGGCGAAGTGGCTCACACCTGTAATCCCAGCACTTTGAGAGGCCGAGGCGGGTGGATCACTGAGGTCAGGAGCTCGAGACTAGCCTGGCCAACATGGCGAAACCCTGGCTCTACTAAAAATACAAAAAAAATTTGCCAGGCATGGTAGCGTGCACCTGTAGTCCCAGCTACTCAGGAGGCTGTGGCAGGAGAATTGCTTGAACCCAGGAGGCAGAGGTTGCAGTGAGCCGAGATCGCGCCACTGCACTCCAGCCTGGGTAACAGAGTGAGACTCAGTCTTGGTAAAAATAAATAAATAAAATAGGCCAGGCGTGGTGGCTAATGCCTATAATCCCAACACTTTGGGAGGCTGAGGTGGGCAGATCATTTGAGGTTAGGAGTTCGAGACCAGCCTACCCAACATGATGAAACCCTGTCTCTGCTAAAAATACAAAAATTAGCCAGGCGTGGTGGCACGTGCCTGTAATCCCAGCTATTTGGGAGGCTGAAGCAGGGGAATTGCGTGAACCCAGGAGACAGAGGTTGTAGTGAGGTGAAATCGCTCCGCTGAACTCCAGCCTGGGCAACAACAGAGTGAGACTCTGTCTCAAAAAAATTTTTTTTAAAATACGGCCTGGTGCTGTGGTGCACACCTGTAATCCCAGCATTTTGGGAGGCCGGAGCGGGTGGGTCACCTGAGGTCAGGAGTTCACGACCAGCCTGACTAACATGGTGAAACCCTGTCTCTACTAAAAAACAAACGAACAAAAAAAAAAAGAGCCAGGTGTGGTGGTGAATGCCTGTAATCCGAGCTACTTGGGATGCTGAGACAGGAGAATCACTTCTACCCGGGAGGCAGAGGCTGCAGTGAGCTGAGATCTCACCATTGCACTCCAGCCTGGGCAACAAGAGTGAAACTCCATCTAAAACAAATAAATAAATAAAAAAAACATAAAACTATTAATCAGAGTGCATCATTTCTCTCCTTAAGACCTTCCAGTGGTTTCCCGTTCCTCCTAGAATAAAAATTCAGTCTCTTCCTTGTGTCTTCCAAGGCTCTGTGTGATGTACCGTTTCCACCTACCTCTCCAGCCTCATCTTGTGTGTCTCTTCCTCTCCTCCACTGTGCAGCCACATGAGTACCTTTTGGTTTCCTTTTGTTTTTTGTTTATTTGTTTTGGGTTTTTTTTTTTTTTTTTGAGACAGAGTCTCGCTCTGTCGCCCAGGCTGGAGTGCAGTGGCACGATCTTGGCTGACTGCAACCTCTGCCTTCCAGGTTCAAGTGATTCTCCTGCCTCAGCATTGTGAGTAGCCGGGACTACAGGTACCCGCCACTATGCTCAGTTAATTTTTGTATTTTTAGTAGAGACGGGGTTTCACTATGTTGGCCAGGCTGGTCTCGAACTCCTGACCTCTTGATCTGTCCACCTTGGCCTCCCAAAGTGCTGGGATTACAGATGTGAGCCATCGGGACCAGCCTTGATTCCTTGATCATTTCAAGCTGGGCCCTGCTGCAGAGCTTTCATGTTAGGTGTTCCCTGTGCTTGGAACAAGCGGCTCCAATGTCACCTTCCCTACTCACCCATTTATAAAATATGGCCACCCTTGTTGCTTTCTTTTCTTTTTCTTCTTCTTTTTTTTTTTTTTTTTCCGAGATGGAGTCTTGCTTTGTTACCCAGGCTGGTGTGCAGTGGCGTGATCTTGGCTCACTGCAACCTCCGCTTCCTGGGTTCAAGCAATTCTCCTGCCCCAGCCTCCTAAGTAGCTGGGATTACAGGTGTCTGCCACCATACTTAGCTAATTTTTGTATTTTTAGTTGGGACAGGGTTTCATCATGTTGGCCTGGCTGGTCTTGAGCTCCTGACCTCCTGATCTGCCTGCCTCGGTCTCCCAAAGTGCTGGAATTACAGGCGTGAGCCACCGCACCCGACCCCTTGTTTCTTTCATTCCTGTTTTTTTTTTTTTTTTGAGACAGAGTCTTGCTCTGTTGCCCAGGCTGGAGTACAGTGGCACAGTTTCGGCTCACTGCAACCTCCGCCTCCTGGGTTCAAGCGATTCTTCTGCCTCAGCCTCCTGAGTAGCTGGGATTACAGGTGTGTGCCACTATGTCCAGCTAATTTTTTGTACTTTTAGTAGAGAAGAGGTTTCACCTTGTTGGTTAGGCTGGCCTCGAACTCCTGACCTGGTGATCTGCCTGCCTGGGCCTCACAGGCGGGAGCCACCGTGCCTGGCTCCTTGTTACTTTCTAACAGGTTACGCTTTGTTCTTTTTTTTTCTTTTAAGACGGAGTTTTGGTCTTGTTGCCCAGGCTGGAGTGCAATGGTGGGATCTTGGCTCACCGCAAACTCCGCCTTCTGGGTTCAAGCAATTCTCCTGCCTCAGCCTCCCGAGTAGCTGGGATTACAGGCATGCGCCACCATGCTGGGCTAATTTTGTGTTTTTAATAGAGATGGGGTTTCTCCATGTTGGTCAGACTGGTTTCGAACTCCTGACCTCAGGTGATCCACTCTCCTTGGCCTCCCAAAGTGCTGGGATTACAGGCATGAGCCACCATGCCTGGCCACCCTTTGTTCTTTATAGCATTATCACTATCTGAGCTCTTTTATGTTTTTTTGTCTCCTCCACTAAACCATAAGCTTCCTGAAAGCCGTGCTTTGTCTTGTTCAGCACT